CACCTGCACAGAGCATTTCCACCTGCACAGAGCATTTCTTGCTGATTGGCTGTTGGGATTTAACTTGATTAACACCTGCACAGAGTATTTCCATACAGACAGTATGTCTGTATTCAAGTGTTTTGGTAGGTATTTCAAGCTTTCCTGCTCCAGCATTGGAATGCGGGGCATGAACGTTATTTTTATTTTGAAAATCAACAGTTTGCATTATGCAATTAAAAATCCTAACCAATAAAGTAGGGAATAGCTATCCAACTGTTGTTTTAGTCGTATGTTACTTCATATTATAGTTATATCAATGTAAATCATTGTTTTCCCTTGCGTTTCTCATTCTTTCCCTGCCATGTCGTAAAATGTGGTGAACCCATCGCTGTATTTGCTCCAAAGCAAATATTGGCCTTTCTAGTTTTTTTTCATTTTTTGTGAACAACCATAGAATTAGAACAGAGAGCTGCAAATTCTCAGATCACACAGTAACAGAACAGAAGTCTGACACATACTCTTCACTGTCTGATGACTCGCTGTCACTGTCCATCGTGCGGCGCCTGCGTGGTGTTTGCGGTACCGCTCGCTTCTGCATCTGAGGTTTACACGTGTGACAGTACCAGTCACCCTCAGGCACTTTCTACAAGGAAACAACACAACACAGCACAGCACATGTTAGCATCTTCCAGGAACATCCTTGTCTACTACAGTGATGGAAATAAAATTTGGATAATTTGCTGTCAGAAAGTTCGCACAATGTCATTTACTGCCTCAGCTGAGCCTTGATTTTCTTAGAGGTTCCATTTTCTAAAGGTTGTGAATCATTTCTGTACCTTAAGTGGGGGTTTAAGACAGTACATGTGGTGACCCCGGTCACAACCGTCACACAGAAGCATCTTCTCTGCGTCTCCCTTCCTGCGGCACATCCGGCAGCGAGCGTTCAGCACGGACTTGGCCCACATGATGGAGCGGTCCAGCGTGGCCAGGTGCAGGAACACCTGCGGGAGGCTGGTGGAGGACATCAGAGACTCCTCCCACCGCTCCAACACTGTCTTCTGCACCTTGCCTGGGTCTGTGTCTTCACCTGAGGAGGTACCACATATTCACCCATCTCTCTTTACTCATTCATCAGTGACTGCACACATTTAGTGCTCTTTTATTATGTTTTAAGGGATACTGATTAAAGGCTGACTTTACATAGGTAACACTGTCTACTGTATGGAAATTTCTCATTAAACATTTTTTGAGACCACACCACACATAAATTCTCCTTTATCCACTTCACAATTTACAACCTACATGAGTTGCACAGAAATTTGACATGCATTCACAGAAAACAGTTTCCCAATGTTGAAGCCTTGGGAAGCCAGGATGTAACAAAGTCAAACAAGGATGGAGTCACTTACTGTCATTTGTGCCAACACTCTCATTGTCATCATCTTTTCGGCGATTCTTCTTGTCAATCTTTCCAAGAGCCTTCTTAGTTGTCTCATCCTCGCCTGTCATCAAAGATCACAGGTTTAATCATATCTATTATATCTTCTAGACCTACCAGTTTATCGGCTGAGAAAGAGTACCAAAAATGATTACTTAGTACATATGACAGTGGTGGAAACTATCATATCACTGGAATCAGAATGCATATATGCTTTCTTGAAGCAAAAACCTAATTTACTCACATTCAAGCATTTACTTTCAATTGCTAATTCATTCATAGTTACATAGGTGAAAGGGTCCTTCATACATGCTTCAGGACTGAAGTATGCCTCCAGGGGTTAGTCTCCTGGCAAGTTTGTATCCTTACCAAGAGGGTCCTTGAGGAACCTGCGCTCCACACACTGCTCCAGCTGCAGGACGGCTGCTGCCAGCTCACGCACCACTGTGGTTACAGGATGGTCAGGGGTGGTGGACTGGCTGCTACCGGTCGGAGTCTCTGAACGCTTCAACTCTGCAATTCTACAGAATGGTGCAAACACAATCAGACAAACGCTAGACCATAACTAAACCATTACTTCAGTTATCCACAGGCTGTGACATAGCTTGAAGGGTCAATGGGTTAAAAAAACTTACAAAACTTGTTGCTGCCATATGCTCACCTGTATGGCAGCAGTATTGGTGGTTCGTTCACCACTTTGCCGTTAACCTCAGGCTTGTCATTTTCAGCTATGCTGACACACAGGTTCCCCGCTTCCAAGTGGAATGGTCTGGCCCCACTCCCCCAGGTCAGCTGCTCACACTGACAGTCATAGGAGCCCTGCTCGATGGCATCTCTCCACGCAGGACGGTCAGTCACCTGTAAGGCAGGGCACGACATCCATTGACTTATCTGAATGAAGCAATACTTGTATCCAGTAGGCAACATGAGCCCATGGCATTGGTGTCTGTACCTTCTTAGAGTCACCTTGAGCCAGTTTTATCAATGTCGAGGCTGTAGGCCTCCTAAGAAGCTGTCAATTGCCAGAGATACAGTCTGTCTCCTTCACAAGTTTTTGGGTCAAGCCACAGACTTTTTATTTGTCCCTGACACATCATGCCTGATGGGTACCTTAATGGCTCCCAGTGTTCCCTGCCATATCTGGTCCTCCATGGTGAGGATCTGGTCCCGCAGAGCCAGCTCCAGGGCCTGAGCCGCTGAACTGTCTGCCACCGCCGCTGCCTTCTGCTTGGCAGCACGGGGAGGCTGCACGCTGACTTTGACATCGACTGGGTCTGGTTCTGCAACAAACGTCAGGCTTTCCACAGAACACTGCTGCATGGCTTCTTGGATACGAGACTTTTCCTGGGGGAGGAGGCATGTTTCATGCATTGATTTGTACAATAAAGTTGAATCAACATACTACATGGCAAGATGTTATTTATCCCAAGTAAACTTTAATATATAGAGGCACAATTAGAAGTCTCCAGCTTTCTTGAAATGTTTTGCATGGAACATAAAGCAAAGTGTGGCACAATATCTGCCTTCTAAATCTGAATGTGGAAACCAAGGCAAATTTTGTTAGCATCATAATTTGGAAACTAAAGCAAATCAAATGTTGATAGATAACTGTCCGAACGGTGAGTCTGTGGCCTCACTCTTCTCCCACTATGTGGTCCTTACCTGTGAGAGGATTTCCCGTAGAGCCCCCTCCCTGTAGCCCCTGGTGTTTAGACCCTGCAGCAGACCTTCCAGCTGCTCAGGGGTGCTGTAGAAAGCCCAATGTATCTTCCCTACACCACTTGCTTTTTCCACATCAGCTGCATCACTTTCCACTTCCTCCATAGCCACATCTTCCACAGACTCGGAGGTAGGAGCAGTGGTCTGTTGAACATCAGGATCAGCTGTGAGATCCACTACATCAGGAGCAGTGTCCATGGGCTGATCATTCTGAGAGTCAGCCTTGATCTGGCCCTGCTCAGTAGGGTTAGTTTGTCCTTGCGTAAGTCTTTGATCACTCTGAGGTAGGACGGTTGCAAGGTTTGGTGTGGAATGTTGGTGGCCCCCAGCAGTGGTGGTGCTTGTGTTAGACTTCTGCTGTATGGGAACTAACAGCTCAGGTGGAACTGAGTCGTCACAGTCCTCCACAAACAGCCCGCCCAGCGAGTGGAAGACCCAGTAGCGGCGGTAACTGCGGTCCCTTCCCAGTGGTATGATGCTGTATTTTGCAGTAGCTTCGGCAACCTTCTTTAACAGTTCCTTCTCCTTCTGCTCAAACTCCTCCTTTTTCTCCCTCTCCTCTTCCTTCCTTTCTTCCTCCTCCTCTTGTTTCCTCTTCCTTTCCTCCTCTTCCTCTGCAGACAGGGATTTGTCCACCTCCATCACCTCTCCCGTATCATCATCAACCTAAACAACAATGACAAAAATGTTGGCTTTCTGTAGTCAGACATCTTCACAATTCCAACCATAAAAAATAAAAAACCTACATGGTCTGTCTGATAGTTCACTACACCTGAGGAAAACATTACAGTCATATGATGCCACAATCAATATTTGAATCTGACAAAAGCAACTTAAAAACATTGGTGAATACTGAGTGTCGGGAATACAGGATTCTCACCTTCTTATCTTCTCCTTTCTTTCCTAGGTTCTCCTTGTTGCTGTCACCACTGGTGTTCAGGTCAGCTGTTTTGTTGGCACCACTGTCATTCCTGGAACAAAACATCAAAATTTAACATTTCTGGTTTGTTAGTATTTCCCTCTTTACAATCCCCCTTCTTCTTCCTTGTGTTTTGTTTACTTTCTCTCTCCAGCTACTTTAGACTGTCACATCCTTAACCAATTATCTCAAATGTTCACCATTGGAACTAAAGATGATAGTTTGTTCTGACTTACTTGTCTTCTCCATTGACAGGCATGTTCTCTTCCCTGCGGAGTCTCTCCTCTCTCTCCTGCTGCAATTTCAGCATCTTTTCTCGCTGCTTCATTCGCTCCTCTTGACGACGACGGAACCTACAGGCAAATACACATTTCACATGAATAAACACATACATTTACAATCTTTAAAGTACAGGCCTCCAAATCTTCCATACAAAAGTCAGGCATGGAAGGATTTTAGTCCTTTCTTAAGGCATAACAACCATTTCAAAACTACTTTTTCAGGCATTCCATGTGGCAAGCTAAGCGAAGGTGAAAGCATGTAGGATCATTGCTGCTTTTTGAGACAACAAGGAAAAGTTCTATGTATGTACTGTAAACTAAGACCAAGAATGACCCCTGACCTCTCAGCAGCCACTTCTCTCTCCCACTGCCGCTCGGCCAGCTGACTGGCCTTCACCTCCTTCTGCGCTGCCCGCATCTCCTCGTACCGGTCGTCAATAAAGTCTCGCGCAGTCACGTACACCAGCAGCTGGTTACAGAGGGTGCTCAGAATCTTCAGCTTCTGCACCGCCTCCAGGTCAAACACATTGCCATTGGCCAGAGACTGGGAAGAGGAATGCAAAAAGTCAATATGGTAGTTAAAAGAGATCTCTTCATGGGCTAATGACAAGCTACCTTAAGCCTTACAAAAGTACTAAGAAACATTCAAAAAGTCAAGCCAGTAACATGGTGTTTGAAGTCAAATCATGAGGTTTTAGTTTTTCATTCAAAGATGCCATGTCTATTGGTTTTGCATGTGAAAAAACTAAAGCCATAGTTTCACTAAAAGCACCAAAGGTCAATTTTGATAAATTAGATACTGGCAAAGAAAACACCAAAACTAGATGGTCAGTTTAACAAAATTTCCCATTGAGTGGCTCACCATTCTGCTTACACAAAAAATCTAGTTCCAAATATCACCCCCCCCCTCAAAGAAAGAAACCACTTACTTTGAGAATCTTTGGTTCATTCATCCTGAACTCGATGCCAGGGTCGTCAGTGGGCGTGTACCCTCCACGCTGCTGGTACCAGAACTTGGCGCGGTTGGAGGATGGGCGGGAACCGGAGGACAGCAGGTGCAGGCGCAGCACCTCCGACAGAGACGTGCCTTCCAGGGGCAGCTCTCGCAGGGAGGTTCCTGAGCAGAGACAGGGACATGTTTCAGACTGGGTACTTGAAGAGCTACATGAACCTCTGCTTGAACCGTTAAACACGAGAAACAGAAATTAATATAATTTACAGGCAATTTGAAAGCCATAAACCTTACACTGACCTTAAAAAGCTAATAAAACTTCTTCCAAACTACTTTAAACTTGTTTTTGCTAATACATCTTTAGTGAGAGAAGTAGCCCAAAGAAGGAATTAGATAACAAGAGAAAACCCCTACCTTGATGCAGGACTGGCCAGGCAGCTGCGAGGGTGGCAGCAGCAGACAGGGCAGACAGGGTGGGGTCTTCGTCCTCATCCACCCCCTCCGTGGTGCTGGCCGCCGGTCGCTCCCTCCAGCTCCTTCTTCCCTTCATCAGCAGCCTCCTCATCCTCCGCATCCTGGAACTGGAAGATGCAGGACAGCAGGAAACGCAGGACGTCCGCCAGCCCACCATCCGGACGGGTCTCCAAGATACTGTCCTCCAACCATTCTAAAGCAGATCAAGGTGAAGTGTGAGTACAGCTACTTTCTCTTTGTCAGACAATAGAGGAAAACCCAGAAGACAACATGACATGAAAAAAATGGAACAACTATACCAACACCATAGCTGTGGTAGCTTTTAAACCCGTTCTTAATAAATTATGATAGATGAACTGTACATTGTCAAGCTTTATGACCAATGCTACATTATTGTTGCTCCTCAAAACTGTCATGCTAAAACTCACCGAGAGACAGCCCATCTGTGAACTCCTCTTCTGTTCCCAGCAAGTCCTTAAAGACAGACAGGAACTCCAGGACCATCGCAGAGTCTCCAAACAGCTCTGTGGGCAGCTTTGTCTTCACAGGAGTTGGCACAGGGAGATCCTGGAGGCAGCAAAGTTGGAAATATGATTAAAGACCAATTGCAGAGATAGTTCAGTAATCTATCTCAAGTGTAAAAACCTTTATCATATCTTTTCCATGGCTTTTAACAGAATCTCCTAACAAGCCCACCTTGAGGTCATCACACTCCATGTCATCACGAGGCTTCAGCCATTCCCGCAGGACATCTGCCCGACGCTGCTTCTCCTGACGCTCCTGTTGATAGAAAGGGGATTCAGTCAATCTTGCAGAATTAGCCAAAAATAGGATTCTGATAGTACCTGTATGCAAAATCTAATAAGTTACAGAAAAATCTACCACCAAAGAACATATCTTAATGATCAAGAAAGTTTCTTCATAATCTTCTCAGTGGTCTTCTTACTTGTTCTTTCTGTATCCTCCTCTGTTCCTTCATTTCTTCCATCTGTTTTCTCATGGCCTCCATCCTTGCCACCCTCTCTGCCTCCTTTTGTTTCTTCTTTATTTCTTTCTCTTCTTCCTTCTTCTTCCTGAGCTCCTCCTTCATGGCAGCTTTCTGTTCATCACGTTTCTTCTTGATCTCTGCCTGGATCTGCTCCCGCTCTTCCTTGCTCAGTTTGGGGGGTTTCTCCATCAATGGTTTGGCTGGGAATTTTACAGTGCTGTCAGGTTTTGTTTACCAAATTCATTCATACCTACATACGTGGGGTAACCATAAAATGCGATTCCATTTTTTTTCACTACTAAAAAGACCATACATCACAGATAGTTTAATTTGTTAGAATTGCATATTTTACCCATGCTAAGTTCCTACACATAAATATTTGTAAACTAAATGGTTCTTATAATGCCCACCTTCTTTTTGTTTCTTCTCCTTTTTCTTTTCCTTTTTCTTCTTCTCTGCACTTGCTCCTTCAGGCTTCTTCTTCTTCTTGGGTGAGTCTTGAGAGCTGGAGGCACTTTCCCCCTCACTAGAGAAGCTGCGTTTCTTTGGTTCCTTGTTCTTGATAGGCGAGGCTGAGAACTGGGGCAGGGGGCCGGGCCAGTAGCGGCTGAAGTTCAGTGTCCTCAGGTTTGCTCTGGCCACATCCTCTGGCTGGAAGGGTGGAAATAATTTTTCACTTACTTTATATAAATATACATCAATAGCAACAGTAATTCCAAAACAATAAATGTCACAAAAAGATTGGTCAAATATGTGTTCCTTCCTTTTTACTGGTTGTATTTGATCTTTAAATGTTAGTTTTGATTCTGTTTGGTAAGTAACTTTAACCAGTAAGAAATTGTACATTTCCTGTGGTGATGTAACTAGTAAACTGTTATGTCTGGAGCAACATCCAATACCCCCTGGCAAGTCTGAGTGGAAGAGAAGATGAAGCTGACACTGACCTTGACCACCCAGAAGCCGTTACCAGGTACACAGTGCATCTTGAGGAACAGCTTGTTCTTGTCCCGTGTGTACAGGCCTTTCCTACGACTGATGGAAAAACAATGACACAGTTACTTCATAAAGAAATCCAATGCTATGACAGTCAAAAGAAACCATCAAAGTGAAATTTTAGTACTTCTGTGTACCAGTAAAATTTGTTTTCATAACTGTCTTTTAAAATATGTTACATAACAGCATTCATTAATTTTCAAAGGTCAAACTCCCTAGCAATATGGAATAGTGAAATGCGTAACAGATCCCACACTATGTAGACATTCTTTCTTCAAAATGTCAAGCCTTTTAGCCCTAACGAGTAACTACTCAATGAACAGGGTCAAACACTGTCAAAGCCAATCATCAAACCCTACCAGGTGTGGTCTGCCTTTGCCATGAATGGTTCCTTGTTGGTGCCCTCCAGTGGCTGTACCCAGTACTGGAACAGATCTGGGTTTGGACCAAACTTGTGACCACCTGGACTCAAGGGACTGCCACAAGGAAAGAAAAACAGGTCCAAAAAGCATTGAGCATTTAGCTTTCAAAACAACAATTAACATGTTGTGATATTGTCAAGTCAATATTGTGAGGTCTGAAAATGATCATGTATACTACACCTGCTGTCAGCTTCATCTGAATCATCCCCATTGATGACGATGACATCAGAGTCCCCATTGGCAGCTGAAGGAGGTTTAGGTGGGGAGGCTGGAGGAATCACCCGAAGCACTGTACAGCTCACTCTGGGGGAAAGACAGAAAACAGCAATATGTTACCAAGTTATACACTTATGCTATCATGTATCTTGGCTACATGTACCTTTCACCATAAATCCTAGGGGAAATGTGTATGACAGATTTACCCCCTATTGGTAGGTAATACCTATACATCACATCTTGATTGCACTACTTCAAATGGCTCATTATACTGCAGTGACAAAAATATTAAGTGTTTATGTTAACCTTATTCAGACATTGTTTTAATTGTGTTGAAACATTTTTTTTGCAGCAAAACTACCATGACAAAAATGATGACATACTGGTTTGGCCATTATGAGATCTGCAATGGCTCTGCAATGGCTCCATCAGTGAATGATGGTTGACCCCAGTAAGACTCAAAGAGAAATCTGGTCCTATTTCATTGGCCAAAGTTGCTAAAAACAACCTCGCTGCAGGTTACTCAGATGGATAAACTTGACCCCATCTTGACACAACATAAGAAAGATCTACTTTAATAATCATCAATGTCCTATTAACAGAATGGGTATCAAGACATCTCTTGGATGGATGCCAGTAACCACTTTCAGCAAATGTTACTAGTGACATGATGGTTGTTTATTCAACGTTGAAGGACCTACATAACAAAATACATAAGGGTAATCTTGATTTATGCTTGGTCTACCACATAGTCTAGTATGCCAGTCTATGGATTGAACCTGTGCTACTGGAGATGTAATTTATAGTACTCTTCACACTTATTCATTGACCGTTGACTGGGTCTGATTGTACATATACATGTGCATAACCTGTTGTCTCTCTGTCGTGAAAGGAAGACAGAACATGTCATGAGTATTGGAAAGTGTGTTGGTCAAATACTAATTAGTATACAACAGGGCCATCATTCCTGGGTACCCCCCCCCCCTCCATGTATACACACAGGCAGAATATCCCCCTCCCCCACATTTGCAGTAACAACCCTCTGACAGATAACCCCCACCCACCACATTGTCTGCAATGGCTGGTAGGTCCTGATGACGTCACCTCAACTCCCAAACCTCACCAAATAATGGCACATTACCGAACTTGCCCCCCCCCCTCATTACACAAGACACGTGAAGTTCCTTAATCTTAGGGTTGTTCTCACCTTGAGGCACCCCTTTGAACCTCCACTGTCTCCCCAACAAGCATGCGGTCCTTGATGAAGGCGTAGACGTCGTCACAGACGTCTGCCAAGCGTGGACGGCGAGTCAGGGCGGCCAGGTACAGCACGGGCACCTGGAGAGGCTGGGGGAACGTCTCCAGGACCTTTCGGGCCCGATCTTCCGAGTCCACCGCCTCCTGGTACGTCAATCCCGACCGCCCTGTCAGTGAACAACTCCATACGAGGCTATTACATAGCATCGTACGCTCGAAGAAGTCACTGTAATGGCACAACATTGCCAATGTTACGATATTTGTGTGTCACGAAAAATGGCGCACAAAAGTGCGCCATTTTCCTGTCGTAGGACAGTGCGATACAGGAACACAACACCACACGTGAATGAATGACTACCAAAACATTGCGAAATCGGCTATTTCGAGCCAAAATTACCATATTATCAAATTAGAACACTTACTCGTAGTCTCTGAAGACTTCATTTGTCAGTCTACAGAAGAAAATCTGCTCGTCGATCTTCAGATCTGGAGGTGGTTTCCTGGGTACGAAAGGTTTGCGATGAAGAAGCGGCATGGTTGTGACAAAACTTGAATTTCGCGGAAGAAAACTCGTGTCCTCACTGGTCAAAAACACTATAAAATATGCCGAACACCCATCCAGAAGATCCTAGGGACTGTCAGTGAGTGTTATGTGGCGAACAATCCCAAAACTGGAGAGGAAATGCCAAGAAATCTAGTGAGAAAGTCTGAGTTCCTTCCCTGGCGTTGTTCCGGACATCAGCTCTGCTCACAAAGAACCTGATGAGATGCACCACACTGCAACCGGCTGCTGCTCGATGTGTTGGTGGGGGAAGGGGGTTAAACTATCGCCTGTCGTTCTCTCGCAGAGGCAAGTAGAAATACGATTTTTGTTACAGGAGTACCTCTGTGTCCAATGTACAGTCATGCCAAAGAAAAATATGATTCATGTTGGCATTTTGCTGTTTCAAAACAAAAACTTTGCCAAATCTGACCAAGGTAGGCGCGAGCGGAGGTCGAGGGGCGGAGCTACGTGATCGGCTTGCTGATTGGCTGATTCAAGTAACATGACTGACAGCAAAGGTGAAGTAGTAGCGAAAGAGGTAAAGCAATAGTTACTGTCAGGAGGAGACGACGTTGTAAAAAATCCTCCAAAACACACAAATTTGATCGTGAATCCAAATACCACGAACTTCAGAATACTAACCATACGTGTGATTCTATCATCAGCACCACATGCCCAATCCACTTAACGTTATACCTTAACTTATAATGTTAGCCTCCATGAAACAACCTAATATAAAAAAAATATTCAAAACAGTTTTTAACCCACCAACATAAACTGTCAAATGTTAAACTATAGACGTAACATGTTGTCAATGCAAGGGTGTTTTTATCTCCCTATATCAATGTTTTCACCATTTTTGACAATACAACAATTGGAAAGTTGAATTTAATTTACATAATCTCGAAATGAAATGATGCCCATCATACATGTACATATATCTTGATACTATTTATGCTGTAAAGACCTGTTTGTGTGTCAAGTTATAAGTCAATGACATAGTAAATACGATACCAGGTAGTATTTGTTGTTGGTAGCAATCAGTTGTCAGGCTGTCCCCTGACAACTTAATTGTGCCCGCAGAGGGCACCTTAGTCTGGGCTCAGATAGATATATCTCCAGGTATCTTCTCTTCTATCATAACCAAAGTTGTCTTCAAAGTAAGACAGCACATCATGACTCTTTGCTTGACTTGACTCTTTGCTTGCACAGTGTGCAGTACACAGTGTGCAGTACACCTTCCTTCTTAGCTGTTTGTGGTCAGACACATTGTAACAAAACAGCAAGAGAACTAGTCAAAAAGAATGAAATTTGTCAATACATTGTATTTAATTCACTCTTCAGCAACAGCATTACTTATATGTATGTTTATGTACATATGTACAACAATATCACAGACTAGATTGAGGAATTATCTTGTACAATATATATACACATCCTTGTGTCCAATGCCACATTAGATTTACAGCATATCATTTTACTCGAAATACAAAATAAGTTAATTACATGTAAACCATCAAGACCTGTAAGCAGAGAGAAGAAACCACAACTTTGACTGTGTTATCTACATACATAAACTTGAAAAATAACCCTTTTTTGTTATGTCTCTACCACACATCAACTAAGCTTCTGAAATATTGTCATCAGGGCAATTTCATTTTAAACATTTGAGAGGGACAGACATGTCCCAATATACTGTATATGATGAAGACAAACAGTTGTACAGTAACAGCTATGACTTGGCAGTGGTCTCTTAAAATAGCTTTTGGCCAATATATTTCATGCGCAAGAAGTGCATTCACAAGGACACGGCAAATTCCTTGTAACATACTGTAGAAAAAGACTGACAACACCATATCTGGTTGTTATAGCCAATCAAAGACTTAGTGTAGTCCAATGGAAAGGGACTGTGGGTTGACTGGGAATTCCCAGAGCTGTACATAAATCAAGCACTTTGGTGGTTCAACTATAGCTGCTGCACAAACCACAATCCATTGCAGAGTATCTTTATTACAAATCATAATCTTGAATATTCCTTTAATGATTTAGAGGTCTGTTTTTCTGAGAATTGACAGAAGTGACCTTCAAGATTGTTTACTACCCACATAACATACATATGTATTGGGAAACATGGAATGACCTAAATTTCCTGAGTACAGAATTGAGTTCATAGTACAATCTCTTCTTCTCTCATACACACATTTATATTCACTCACTCACTCTCACTCACTCACTCACTCACTCACTCACTCACTCACTCACTCACTCACTCACTCACTCACTCACTCACTCACTCACTCACTCACTCACTCACTCACTCACTCACTCTCTCAATCAATCAATCAATCAATCAATCAATCACTCTCATGCAAACACACACACTTACAACACATCATATTTGAAGCATCGTAATGTACACAATAAGTATGATTAAGTCTGCAACAATGATAAATAGGCACTGTTCATTATTTCCCTTCCTTTCCTACAAAGTTCACAAACATTTCAAAACAAAAGCCTCCTATCAAATACATGTACACATTTCTCAAATGGAAGAATCATCGCCATAAACTCCACCGTTCTGTATCATCAATGGCTTACTGGCACAAGTAACATGGTATAATCTTTTTTTCTGCTGAATTTACAGACCCCTCAAACATGGCCACCAATACATGGTAAATGGTTTTGCAGTTGATAGTCCTAGCTAAAAATATTCAATTACAGCTTAATGAATTGATGAATGACTGCCAGCACTAATGACGCATATAGAAGATATGACCACTTAAACAATTTTTTGGCCAAATGGTACTAGTATAAGTATCAACATGATACATGCCTATCTCCATTTACAGGTTTCATATGGCATGGTGATTAACTGGAAATTGCAAGAGAGAGGGGAAGCATTAAATACAGTTACAGTTGAGTCATTTTCAGTAGGAGCAGGTTTTATTCCTCCTCATATTAATAATCTTCATAATAATAATCATAAAACAATGTAATCCTCTGGAGGGCTGACACTGTTTATGAAGAATGGATGAGACAATGTATTTCTACAGGATGTCAGAGATCAGTCAATGACAGTCACAGCCTCCTGTGTCTACCAGGAGCATATTGAAGAATCCATGATCAAAAGCCCAGCACTCCATAAATTTATGAATTTGAATGCTTCTTCCCAACCCCTCTCTATATTTTACTTCACCTCACACATACACATGCAGTCTTATGTACAATATAATCTGCAATCCAATCAAGGTACATGTACTTCCCAATGTCAACACCATTTGTTGTAGAAGTTGACACCTTCAGATACAAGACAAAAATTTGTCCATCATTTGTTTCCACCTTGTCCTGTAGCAGTGCGCCAAAGCGAGGCTACTGTCTCTGCAGCTGATGACATCAGACCCCCCGTGGGGCTGGTGGACATGTTAACCGTCACGCCCTGAGAGGTGCGTCTGTGGTGGGACACTAGTGTAGATGTGCTGCTCTCTCCAACGTACTCCACATGTGGCTCCACCAGCTGAGCACTGGGCACGGTTTCCCAGTCAGTACTGATGTCATGCTCATCAGCACCGACCCCACGATCATCATCACTGTCATCCATGGCATGGCTCGCACCAGTGCTCAACGACTCCTCTATAGACTGGATCATCTCTGGGTTTACATCAAATGCACCACATCTGCAGGCAAATAGAGAAGAACAGGGTCATACCAAAGAATGGTGATTACTAGTATGCAACTAGTTGCCTGTGATGGAGTATGTTCAGTTGTGAATCAGTTCTGTTGTTAAACTGCTCCAGGCATTTTTAGAAAATAAAAAAAAGACTATGAGACACAATAGGTATAGACTTAGTCCTCAGTACTGTTTCCAACTTGGCTACCATCTTACATATCATAAGTGAACAACTTGTAAATTGTAACAAAGGATATGTCGATTGAGAAAGATTCTAACCTGCCAAGGTCAGGTGAACTGATAAGGGCCTGTATGTTCCTGAGGGTCTGCATAGGGTGTAACAGTTCTGGAGACACATTCTGGGTACAGCAAACAAAAAAAGCACTTGTCAAAACAATGCCTTTGGACCTTAGGCGGAGGGAAGCATAAGCAGTGAAGACATTATAACCCATCTGGGATATCTATCAACAATCTATGTTTAAAATAAATCATTCCACCAACTACAAAAACAGCAGTATCCACCCTGCCTCGTGTAGAAAAGTAAAGAGAACAGCCCAGGTTACCTGAGTGAAGCAGAGGTGCAGGATGTTGGTGTTGAGTTTGGCCACACTTCTGTGGAACCGAGAGCTACTCAGTGGCTCACCACAAAACTCACTGGAAAACAGGGAATCATGTAAACAGTGTCAATGTTGCCTTTCAATTAGAAACTAGCAATGTGACTTTTTTCTATAAGTGAAAAAAGAATAGAGCAATGGTGACAAACTAGAAAGGAATAGCAGTGAATTGAAAACATTATTCTTGAACGTAATGGAACTGCAGAGATCAAGGAGTTTGCACTGGACGTGAAAGCTTTCTACTTACTGTAAAATCTTTTTAATATTGAATTTAGGTGGCCAAGAAACCATTAAACTTTTATTCATAAGTTACAGTTGCTTGGAACCTGGTAGTATACAGTATGATCTAACCTGTAGCATATTCTCTTGGGCAGGTTGACTCCCAGGTAGAAGGCTAACAGTTTGACCAGTTGTGTTGTATGGCTGAGGCCAGCACTGAAGGTATAGGCAGGGTTCCTCTGGTCCAGGTCTGAGTCTGGAAAATACACAGCTTTTAATGACATGTCACAGGATTGTCAATTGATGTGAGTTTGTGTTTCTGGGAGCTTGAGGTCTTGGAGCAGCAAGGAAAAGATCAGCAATAACAACTCTGTAGTGTCACAATTACATCTGTGGGCTCTCACATGTAGCCCACAGTTGAATCCAGATTTACAGAATCACATCTGAAAGACCACAGATGGACATATTGCAGAAATCTCTAGGATACAATAAAAGAAGGTAAATTGTCTGTGCCTGTTTTTGTTTTTGCATGCTAAACCTCTTGACAGTAAAGAAAAAAAAATGACAGTGAATAGAGGGCAGCAAACAAACAGGGTGTGCAGGTTTGGTAGCTAGATAGTCATATTAAAATGTGCGAAACCACTGTTGGTTGACAAATCAGGAGTAACAGAAAGTGTCAAAATCCTGATACATGCACCTTGGTGATGGTTACTGTCAGTAGATGAAATGACCAGTTCTTTCTCGGGATAAGTTTATTATAGCCATGTACCACCTGGTCCTATGGATGCCTCTTTATTAGCCTCCATCCAGTCCAGGTAGGCTGAGTAGTTCCCATTAGCAGGCAGGCACGGCTCCACGATGCAGACCTGGGAGTCATTATTGATGTCTGTGTAAACCCAGCGACCACGTACGTACGCTGTACGCCTGGCCTCTGCAAGCTGCTGTACTGTGCTCTCTGATATGTCCTCCTCAGAGTCCCTGGAACAAAAACATGGGGATGGAGAATCAAATAAACAGTAAAAATGGTTGCTGATACTTTTAGAAATCTAGAGTGACCTTATAGTATTGTGCCTCTTCACCTTTCAGTTTTATACCTATTTCATCTCAAGAAGAAGAAGAAGAAAAAAGAAGGTATTATCACCTCAAGATTGAAGCCAATGATTAATTGCAGTCATGTAAATCAACCAAATGCTTGTCATCATTTAATCACTCTTGAAGAATTGGACCCAATAGTCTCAAAAGGGTCTAATTTGGTATGTACAGTTTCAGAGTTTAAGAAGGCATCCATGAACCAGAAATCAAGTTGCGGTTCTCCCCACACCAAATAAGCACCCTAGCCACCAGTCATGAGAGGGGAGGGGGCATGTGACACATCTGCCTACCAAAAGTTGAGGAAGTGAACAACTTTCCCCCGCCGTTCCCAGAATCGGCGCTTGTCAGGGGGTTCAGCTGGGGGGGACTCAAGAACCTGGATCCTCTTAGGACTAGCACTAGGGAGTAAAGTGAATATATAGAGAGAGATTTACCACCTTGTGCAGATCACTCTTTCTGTCAAACTCTAATAGTGACTTCTCTTCCTTTGTGCACTGTCCTGAAGATTGTGATTATCATCAATTTCCATAAGATAGGTCATGCATATTCTATTACAAACCTGTTGTGCAACTCTAAATCATTCCATATTTTATCCCCTGTGAGGAATCCATGTACAGTTTAAATTTCACAAGGTCTGTAAGATGCTGATCACAGTATCAGTAAGCACCTACCCAGTGTGAGCGACATCCTGGATGTCAAAGATGCTGGTGGTGAGCTCACGGATGTTGTCTCGGCGCACGTCCACCAGCGCCTCCTGCCGTACCTCCAGCTCCTCATGCTGGCGCGCCACGTGGGCCTGGATCTGAGACAGGTATTGCTGGATCTTCTCCAGCTTCTCTGTATGTCGCAGCTCCTTATGTTTTCTGCGCCGGTTCTCCTCATGCAGCTGGGACAGCTGCTCATATTCTGGACATGAAATAGGTGTTTCATTTACATATAGTTTCATGTTACTTCGTAAGAACACAATGTAAACTGCAACACACATATTCTCAAGATTCCAACAAAAGGTTAAAGAACCCCAATGACAACAGAACAAAAACACACAGCAAACAACCTCACCTTCCTTCTTCCTTGCCTCCACCTCATCTACAGCTTTTCTGAGTGCCACCAGCCTGCTGGTATGGTCCAAAACTTCCCATCTCTAAACAGAGCATTTAAACAACCAAGTCAGCTGCTACAGAACAAAAGATCTGTGCACATGAATATGTCTGTAACAAGATATTGCTATTATGATCTCCTCCTTTCCATTTTTAAAATCTATTGTACTCTTCTAAGCTACTTATGGTCATGATCCTGGCCAATACTGCCTGCTTGTACGAGTGTTATTTCTTTATCAATGCCAAATGTGCCAAAAATGCCTTTACTTGTACCTCACTACTAGCTACACCTCCTTGGCACTCTCTACTGCCATCTGTTTTTGCTTTGCCACAGCATGGCAAAGTCTTTGAAGCAGACAAAAGGTTAAGCAGGCCTTTTAATAGAATGAAGAATCAATTGAAATCAAAACAAGGTACAAGTAGTATTTATTCGAGTGCCAGTACATTGATGCATGTAGAAACATGATGAGGACTTACCAAAGACACAACTTTCTTGCTACTGTCAACCACATCTGAAGCCCTGTGAGGCAGCAAGTTGTTAGAAAAAAAACTGCATGTCTACACTATCAATGCATTTCTAAATGTTGAAATCATATCACATGCTAGCCATGAGTTATGATCAAAAGTTGACTGCCTAGATGTTTTAAATCATCTTTGTACAAGAAGAGTATTATGTGTACCAACTAACAGCTAATGTTAAAATCCAAAGAACAGTATAATTATATAACTGCTCCTCTCAGTGATGGTCCCCTCAGGAATAGTCATATCAAAAATTTGGTCCATGCCAGAATATTACTTGACAGGTTGCAATCCCAGCAACATCTTCTATTTGGCACTCAAACAACTTACCTAGCATGAAGTTTTAATCTTTCTCTCTTCCAATTGGATAGCTCTTGTAACTTTTCTGAGTATCTGAAATGTAGCGTAGTAGTAGTACAATGATCAATAAATAGAGCGAGTGCATGAACTTTTAATGATCGTTAGAGACCTCAGAGCTGAGTGCTGCTTCAATTCCACAGCCTACTCTCCTGTCAGACAAACATGTTTGACATAAAAATCAACTCATAATTTAATCATATAAATATCCAGTGCACAATGTCACCAGCATAGGACCATGTGTAGGGGAGGGGGACAGGATTGACATACAGTAAAACCTGCCCAAAGGAACCAAACAAAAGTCTATTTGGACATGTAGTCCTCTTCAACAGAAGTGACTCACACCATGGCCGAGGAGATGATATGTACTTTATCATATCGTGTTATATTTCCCTGAGTAAATCCTCTGCAACCTTATCCCTCCTGCATGTACCTGCCCAACATCCAGATATAACCCCTATGGGGGTTACCCTACAAAAATGTAGCATATGATGAAATTGATTATAATTTATGATAAATATTGTGCAGCACTGATGCTGCATTTATACCATAATAGTTCAAAGGTATACGAAAGTCATAGGCCCCTTTGCCTCTGGGAAAGTATAGAGGTTCCGTGTAATTTGGCAACATAACCATATCTGAAGGACTGCGGCACAACTTCTGATAAATATAATGGGATCAAAATTACTTAGTATATGAACAAAAGACAAGACATTCGGGACGATTCCACTTCGGGGTAGTAACGTAAACGT